AACAGAAGCTATTATTTTAAGTTGGGGGTTCGTTTGCTTAGCTGTAAAAGGCTGACGGGGTATTGTCATCACCCTGCCAAGTGGACGGGCAGGCAGGATGTATGGACAAGTTTGTGAATGCAATAACGCACAAATGAGGGGAAGTAGGAGCTTCAAATTGATACCATTTGTGTTTCTACTAAGATGTCAGATGAGTTTGAATCTCAGTGACCTCAACATTAGGGTCAGAGTAAGTTTTCTGTATGTAAACAAGGTGACACAGGATTTTGAACTTGATACCACAGGTGTGTTACCTGGGAAGCGGAGGGGTAGCACTTTTAGCTGCCAGTATTTTTTGAACAGGGAACAGATGTGCTGTGTTTAATTTCTCAGTCTTTGTCGTCTTTCCAAAAAAACAGTTTTAATGGGAAATGCTAAACATCATTTTTCTTCTTGCTCTGCAGAACAAGTGAATGAACTGGTTGCACTGATCCCGTACAATGACCAAAGACTGCAACCCCAAAGAACGTGAGTAACTGCAGCGCACTGATGTGTTCCTGTGTCTGTTCCCTCTGGACGTGTGGGTCTCTCACTCTGTCTGAGGTGATGTAGGAGGTGAGTGCATTGTCTGGAGAGAACCTTCCCTCTCTGTGTCGTAGGAAGCTCTACGTGGTCCTGTCAGTTGTGCTCTGCCTGCTGGCCTCTTCGCTTGTTGCCTTCTTCCTTTTCCCACGCCCAGTGGTTGTGGTGGACGGAGGGATCCGCTCGGTGACGGTGACGTTCGACCGCAACAACACAAAGGTCCTGATGAACATGACGGTAGGTTTCATATCACAGCTTCTAATAATCTACACAAACAGCATGACAAAGCATAACTCTCAGCCTCTGCAGGCTCAGGTCTCACTTCACTAAGAACTCCTCTGTGGGATCAGCACCGATGTGTTTCCATACAAATGTGTCTGAAGTGACTAATGAGTGGAAGGACGGGTTTGCCAGATCGGTTTTAGTTTGCAAGCTAGCAACAATTTTCAGCTTCTGTTTATTCAAAAGTAACGCTCTTCTTTATCACATGTGGGTAAATACTTAGACAGTTTCATTATTTCAGTTCAACTTTGGGAAAGTACAGCCAGTTAAGCAACACAACGACCACAGTGGATTTGAAATGCTAATAGCGTGATTCAAGTGTTGAGTCTTGGCTTGAATTCAGCTGCTACAACTAAAACATCACATTAACACCTTAGGAGTCATTTTTTGTCCGTTTTCACTTCCTCAGCATTAACCAGACAAATGACTGATGAGCAGTTTCATGGCTAGAAGAGCCCTGCTTTCTTATTAT